GCTTCCACATATATAGCCACGCCATCTGTCTCCCTACTATACTAACAATGGCAAAATAGTCGATCAATAATTTAATGGACCACTTAGGCCCCGTTTGGGGACTTACTTTTTTAGCCAATTAGCCAAAAAGTTACTAAATTAGCCAAAAAGTCAATAACTCATACCAAAAAGTCAAAGATTCTCTTTTCTCTCTATTTTTTGCACATCTTTTCGTAATTAGCTAAAAAGTCATCCCAAACATACAAATTTTTTTTACCTACATTTTTAGTCAAATAGCCAAAAAATTACTAAATTAGCCTGTTTCCAAACGAGGCCTTAGTCACTAAAAAAATATTTAGAACCTTATGGATTACAAGTCTACAAAACGAAATACAAAAATGTATTGAATTTTCTTTTTTTTTATATATTTTTTATATTTATTAATTTTTTTAAAGATTTTTTCATAAATATTAAAATTTGAAAAGTAAAAAGAGATCTGAAAAGATTTTTTTAAAGATTTTTTAATTGTATTTATATTAAGTGTATCTGAAAAGTAAAAAAAAATATTTAAAAATTTTATTAATAATAAAAATACAAAAAATTTAAAAATTAAAACCAAACGATGCGGAGAAAGAGAGGGGAGTATGTGGGATTGAACTCACCACCTTTACATGAAAACTTCAACGAATAGGTAAAAAGAGATCGTGAGGCGCTATCACTCATTTTTTTATTTTACATTCTTTTACTCGTTGAAATTTTCATGCAAGTCTTGGGTGGCGTAGGATTTTATTTACTTATTTATTTTATTTTCTCGTTTCTCGTTTTGGCAGCGAGAGAAGAACTTCATCATTTCATACACTTCCAAGCTTAATCCTTAAGTTAATTCTATCAAAATTAAAAAATTCTTTAAGTCTATGTTTGATTCATAAATTTTAAAAGAGATTTAAAAATAAAAAATATAAATAAAATGTGAATAAAATTTAATTATATTTTATCTACGTTTTACACTTTTTTTTTTTTCATTTCCAAATTTTTTCCTAAATTCATTAACTAAATACAATATAAGTTAACCTTCTCTGAAATTTATTATGCTACTTTTTAGGTCCCTTCCCATGGGTTGGGTTAACCTCCTTTTTCTGATTCAAAAAAAAAAAAAAAAAAAAACGTTTATTCAGATTTGATTATGTGAATAACCATTTTTAGCAAGGACAAGACTTCTCTACTGTCCAAGATGTGAATTGGAAGGTGTACTAAACAATACGCATAAGATTAGCCAAATGAGTACTCAGAATCTTTTGGGTCACTTCCAAAATAAATCTGTTATGTTATGATTTTTTTACAATGATTTTGGGTTCGTTTGATTTGTATTTCTGAAAAAATTTTAGAAAATTTTCTCTACAAATAAGTTTTTAAAAGTAATCAAACCAAACAAATTTTCTCAAAAAAATTTCTCAAAACTTGTAAACCAAACAAGTTTTCCAAACAAATCTCTCTCTCACACACATCAAATCAATCACTTTTTTCAAAACTCTCTCTCAAAATAATTTTCCAAAACAACTTTTGAAAAAAACCAAACCAAACAACTTTTCGTACTTTTTATCTCTAAAACACATCTCTCAAACACAAACCAAACATACCTTTTATTTTTTAAAATATATAATTTAATTGTTATAAAATTAAAATAAAATTATATTAAAATTACACAACTTTAATGATGTAATTTTTCTTGAACTTTAAATATGGACAATTGAATTACACAACATGACTCTTACCGATAGATCTATCAAAAAGAATCTTATTTCCCACTTGGATAGTGAAAAGTGGAAAATCTTACTATAATCGCATCTACAAGACTACAACAGCCGCTGCAATCAATCAATTAATTAACTTTAAGCTGGATACCATTCCTTTGATTTGATTGAAGAAATAGTTTAAGGGAACATCTATACTAACGACTACATTTATCAAAATAAAAATAAAAATATGAAGTTCTCTACCATATAGAGACCTTTCCACCTTTCGTACTACAACGCATAGAAATCACCGGCAATATTCTGGTATCCCACTTCTGGATGATTCTATTTTTTTTCCTTCACATTTTCAATGAAAAATATGCTAAAGATTTTATTTTCAACAGTCGTTTATGTGATTTGGTCCAACGAATGTATTGTCAAAGATATTTAACTTTGAAACACATTCAGTGTGTTTGATTTTAATTTTTTAAAATTAATTTTTTTTTTATTTTTTGTGTTTTTTTTTTAATTTCTAGTGAATATTTTTAAAATTTTAAACAATTTTTATTTTTATTTTTTTAAATGCACCTTATCTATCTATATCTATCTATCTATCTATACTATATATTAAACAAAAGGGAGTTTTTAACCCCAAGCCTTGTGGGAGCTCCAATCTCCCAATCTAAATTTCTTGATTTTTTGATTTAAAAAAAAAATAGCATTTATTAACTTCTCCAACTCCCAAGTTTTACCCTCATAATAACACTTTAATGCATTAAGAACAAGCATAAAAAAAATTCTTTGAAATCCAACACATGTAAATTCCTTGAAAAGTTGCAACACATATGATTATTATCTCTCATAATAACACTTTAATGCATTAAGAACAAGTATAAAAAAATTTCTTGAAAATGCCAACACATATGATTATTATCAAAATATTAAACATTAATATAATATAATAAAAAAAAAGGCATTTAATTCTTTGAAAAGTCGAATACATATGATTATTATCAAATTATTATTAAAATATTAAACTTTAATATAATATAAAAAAAAAGGAAAAAAAAGAAGACATTTAAAAAAAAAAGAAAACATTTAAAAATCACAATTCACATATATAGATAACTAGCATATCACCCGTGTAATGCACGGATTGTGTTTACAATTATCTATATATGTGAATTGGCATTTTTAAATGTCTTTTTTATTTATTTTAAATGTCTTCTTTTTTTTCCTTTTTTATATTATATTAAAGTTTAACATTTTGATAATAATCATATGTGTTAGATTTTTCAAGGAATTAAATGTCTTTTTTTTATTATTATATTATATTAAAGTTTAATATTTTGATAATAATCATTTGTGTTGGACTTTTTAAAAAAAAAATTTATGCTTGTTCTTAATGCATTAAAATGTTATTATGAAGGATAATAATCGTATGTGTTGGGACTTTTCAAGGAATTCATATGTGTTGGATTTCAAATATTTTTTTTTATGTTTGTTCTTAATTCATTAAAGTGTTATTATGAGGGTAAGACTTGCGGGTTGGGAGAAGTTAATAAATGCTAAGCAAATTTTTCTAGAAGCAAGATTTGAAGTAATGGGATGCTTACTAATTCTAATTTTAGGTATATTGCATGTGATTTTATGTAAACCTCTATGATCACTGATCAGGTGAGATGTCCCCAACATAAGGTATGAACATGTATGATGAAGAGCCCTAATTTCTTACTTATTAAACAACAAGGTTCTGTGAATGCAGTGAATTATGATGGAAGTGTGTACCTACTAATTATTAGTCAAGATTTTTGTGTCCATCTTTTTTGTTGTGCAGTTATTACAGACATCAATCATTTTTGTGTCCACCTCATGGCTAGAATTGCCAATGTGTCCTATAATCTGAAGGTGTTTTTTTGGTGGTGTTGTCTACATAGCGTAACTTGGTGGCAAAGTAGTTGATCATTACAATGCCTCGGCCACCATTTTTTTTAAAGGTTACGACATTAATTTTTAATGTTAATATAATCATGATTTGTCCAATGAAGCTATAGCATGCCAAATTGGCATCAATTTAACACTATGGTTACCATTTGAATATGAAGCCTCTACACCTAGGATTGGGTAGATCTCATACAATAACTGTCTAAACTCCATTTATTTTTTCTAGAATAATCACATACACTTTTTTCATTGTAGATCTACTACTAGAAATTCAATATGTATTCTTGAATAATCTCATTTTTCAATTATTCAATCATTTTATCTACCAAGTTCAATGTTGGCTAGATGTATCTACACTTCTCACTCAATAGGCACAAATAGGTGGATTTCTACATAGAACTAATAATAAAATACAAGTTGAGCAATGTGAGTGGAACGGGCTCTTCCTTGGCAAGCGCCACTATCTAAAGGGTTAGTCAAGTGACAAATTGAGCCGTGATAAGCGATTCAGAAACTGTGAATCTTGAGTTTGAATCTTATAAAGGGCTTGAACCTTTTAGGCCACTGTGCCTGTTAATTACTTATAAAGGACTTGAGCCTTTTAGGCCACTGCCCGTTAATTGCTTAGTATATGTGAAATGGTTTTCATTTGACTGAGGAAAAAGACATGCATGGTATTTGGAATCTAAATCCAATTTAGCATTATTTGATTCCCTGACTTGATTTTTGTAAATTATGCCCACCATCTGTTTGTTAATAATTCAAGAACACAAAAAAGAAAAGCAAAGAGAAAGAAAATACACACAACAGTGTTGTTTAATCATTGTACACATCATTTCTCCTTTGTATTCATATTGTAGTTTGGTTTGAAGTTCGTGTCTTCAAACTTTGCCTTGCTTGCTACTCGAGTTTTGTTTATAGTGCTTGTCTCTGTACACAATCACCAATTGGGTACCCTGCAAATAGCCATATATATACTGCTAATCAAATAGAGAAGCATCACAAGTTTTATTCATTGAATGCAAAATTCTATGTTTTAAGGGGTAGATTGTTGTTAAGAGACAGTGATCCGTAATATCCTTCTGTGATTATCCAAGATATACTCATTCTCAAGTCTTATATTTGTGTAGAGTTTGAATCCTAAAAACATTTTTTGGTCATAAGCAGTTTGCCTGATTAGCTGGTTTAGAAGGATTTTTGTTATAACTGAGGTTTGTGACAGTTATATGGTTATAATTTTTTATATCATTCAGTGGCATATTTCTTTTCTTTCATGTCATACAATCTATTGTGAATGTTCTGATTCAAAGTGGATTATTGGGTAATATGGTAAATGGCAGAAACAAGGGAAGCTCAGCAGATGGTTCTTTTGTGAAGCCGGGGACCAGCCAGCAAAACTTGAGTTCATTCCAATCTCAGGCAGTTCAGAGTGAGGCAGGAAAGAATTTCACGGAGATGGAAGGAAGGTGTTCTTCAGATTTGTATAGGAAACCAAGTGAAGAGTTGTTCTTGAAATCCTTGATGGAGAGCTCGATTGGAATGCCAGTGCCAACCATGGAAATGTTGGGTTTCAAGAATCTTTCCCAATTGGGTTTTGCAAAATCTTCGTACAGATAGCGAAGAACTCTTCAAAACTTGGCTCACAAATGGAGAGGCAAGCCATTGTACTATCTTCTTTTGTTGACTTTGTTTCTTAATCCATGTTTGTAACTTCTTTGCTCAATCAAAGTCATATGCATGCATAGTGCAAGCCAATGCCATATTGGAGAATCGTGCGAATAGTGGTTGATCATTGTAACGTTGTTAATTGTTAACATGATGGTAGCTTGTTTGATCAAGGAGCTACAAGCATACTTTGAAGTCTTATAACCTTTGCATTACCTGATTTTGTTTTATTCTAGATTATTATAGTCTAATATCTCAATGAACTTTATTTAATCGGAGGTTTCCTGTTTGGAGTTGAAAATTTCTGTGTAGTTTAGGCATCAGAAGTTCTATTATTTGAAACTGAGAAACAGTCAGCATTAACATGTTTCTTTGATCATGTAGTGTCATAAGTTTGTGACTTGTGGATTTATCTTACTTTCTACTTTTGGGTTTGAACAGAGAATTCTTATATTCATCTTTTGTGATAGAATTCAAAAGCATGAACTAGCCACAGTTCAAAGTCATAACTTATAAAAGTTAGAATTAACAATCATCTCATTGCTTCACATTTTATAAATCCCAGGAGCCAGTTATGATACTATAGACTGTCCTATCATTTTCTTTTTCAATTGTTAATTTTATGCATAGCTGGAAATTTTTTTTAATTTGACTATAACAAAAGCAATTTGTTAATGAAAATCAAATAATTGAACCTACGTTTGACAATTGTCTTGCGAACAGTCCCTTGTTTAACAGAATGAAATATGAATGCTTCTGGTAACTTTTACCAAATCAGAAATCAGTGGAAATGATTGAAATGCCTATATTTATGTTTTGTCCTAATTGGTTCTTTTTCTTTTGTGATATTGTGTTAAATTGTCTGATTGTTCTTTGCTAGCCCCTTCTCAAATTGTTGTTTTTCTCAGTCGATATATTTTTTGTTTTCTAGAACCATGGCTATAATTCAACAAGCATAGTACATTGTACTCGACACACATCACAAAGGTTAGTTGGTCACAGTACTAAAATTTCACATTTGTTCATAGGGTCTACTGATCTATTACCCACTGTAATTATTTATAAGACTGCTCACTGTATTTGCGATGTAGAATAGTGGCTCTTCCCACCCCTTCTTTTGCAAAGATCTTCATGCCTTTTGCATGCAAATATTTGTAGTTGTAATAGTAGTGTTAGTGGCAGTGGTAGTAATTGAAGGGACGATGTTGAGGATGCTTGCCATTCTAGTATGCATAGCAACAAAAGTGCTTCAATCTCCCTAATCTCTCTCTCTCTCTCTCAGCCTGTACGTACTCTCATATGCGTGAGACTATAGCTTTTACTGTACAATAATGGCATGTCTCGGAACTCCTTTTTAAACAGATTGATTGGTGGGTATTCTATGCGGAGATGAATAGTTGGTCCAATTAGCAAGAACCAGATTTTGTTATACCACCAACTTCTTTCGACAAGTAAACATGTTAAATGTAGGAAGCCCGCAGAATTAGCCGGCTCATCTGGTCAGCAACTTGGGGGTGTACTTCAGAGGAAACGAAGCAACAACAATTTATTCCCATAAAATACTGCTTTCGTTGATGAACAGTCAAGTGATCTGAATCAAAATTCAATTAGGTGACTCCTGTAACTTTTTATACATGTGATTCTGAATCACATGTCTCTACATACTTTTAATTTTTAAATCACCTATGTTTTCTAAGTTTATTCAGTTTCAATATTTGCATTGGTTTCAGAGTAAGCATTTATGTCATAGATGATGATTGAATTTGCCTCTTTTTTTTTTTGGGTCCATCAGGAATGTGGTTGAAAGAGGGTTGCAAGCTAGTAATCTCTATTTGGCTAAGGTCTGTATATATTGAGATTGTTGCAGAAACACAGTTCAATATGACATTCCAAGACAATCTCATATTTTTTGCATGCAGGCATGGTTTCATAGTTCTCAACCAATGACAAGAAGTCGGTCCTCTGAATTACGGTAGCATTCTTTTTGTCATTTAATAATGTTGATAAAAATTATATCCATGAGATTTTCAGTTAGTTGCTAGCAGTAGCACTTTGCCAAACAAGCCATACACCACATGTCCTAGTAAGACATTGGCACTTGGAGGATAGTTATTATTATTTCAATTGTAGGCTGAGCTAAATACTTGCAAAATGAGAAATTTGGGGCTTAATTAATCCAAGTTTGTATGATTTAATTTCTTTACAAAAGATAGAGTCATTTTCTTGGATTCATCCTAGTAAACACTTCTTTGCAGGAGGAGGTATGTTTCCATGCAGAACTCTCAAACATCACTTGGTGTGGAAGCCATGCATAATGTATCTGGGCACAGTGTCAAAAATTTGAGACAGGAATTTGCAAATCCAAATGGATTTGGTGATGCCTTCAATGTGTGAAATTCCCAACCACTTTAACACATTTATGTTGCCATCCAATTCAGCTTCATCTACTTTCAATGCCCCTCATACCGATGACATAGACAAAGTTTCCTCTGTTGTGAGCATGCTGAAGGGGACATTAGAACACAAGAAGCTTAATAACGAGACTGTTGAAGATAGCTCCTTGGAACTTAGGGTAGACTAGTAGTTATATTTTTGGATGGGTGTGTATAGAAAATATTTGGTAGACTACTAGTACTATTTTTCGGTTGATGCACATGGATAAAAATTTAAAACATAATAACAAGTACTTGTTATGTTTTAAATTTTATGCTAGATGAAATATGTAGTTTGGAATTATTTGTGGATGAAAACTTATAATAGTTGCTGATTTTAATTAAATAGGTTCAGAAATGGTTGATATCTGTATTTTGTTGAATGTTCATGATTCAATTTATTTGTTGGTTTGAATGATTTTTGCAAATTACAGATTATATTGAATAAATTGGATGGATTATTATAAATTACAGGTTTATTTTGTTGGATATGGGCGACCAAAATTTGGTTTTGTTTTTCTAGTTTTGGCGACCAATTGATTAGTCGGGAAAGATAAGTTATACTTTGGCCAACTAAATAAAGTAGTCGGTGTATCACCAAGCACATTTGGCGACTAAATAATTAGTCGTTAAAATGATTAATTTTGGCAACCAAAGGATTTGGTCGCGAATAGGTCTATTGCCGACTAAAGTTTTAGTTGCACAAAACATGTTTGGTCGCGGAATGTGACAATTGGCGACCAAATGTTTTTGGTCGTGGAATGTCACAATTGGCGACCAAACTTTTTGGTCGTTGAATGTGATAATTGGCGACCAAACTTTTTGGTCGCGAAATGTGTCAATTGGCGACTAAGATATTTGGTCGGGAAAATATCACTTTTCGCGACCAAAGTGTTTTAGCGACAAAATGAATTAGTCGCAGTAATTAAATATTTAGCGACCAAAAATTTAGTCGGCAAATTCAACTTTTGCCGACCAACCAAAATTTTGGTCGCGAATTACTTTTGCCGACCCTCAATTGGCGACCAAAGTAGCAACCAAAAAAATTGGTCGCGGATAACTTTTGCCGACCAAAAATGGGCTTTTAGCGACCAATTTTTTGGTCGGCAAAAGTGTTAATTCTTGTAGTGTGGCTGTCAAAAGGATATCATATAGTAGAGTTAAAAGCACTTCAAATGTTTTATAAAAATTAATCTAAATTTTATTAATAATTTTCACACACTCGCATGCCTTTTCATTTAGGCTTACTTTTTCATATAATGATACGATGGATCATAGCACATTTCAATATTCTAGCAAACTAGAAACTTATAATTCCAAATGCACCACAGGATAATAGAGGGAAGAAAGAACACATGTCTGCTTTATCAAAACTAAATCTAGCACCAAAATAAAAGGCCACGGCAAGTAACCATGCATCACTGTGGACAACAACTACAGCCAACCAGTCCTTCTCTTGCATCCCATCCTTAGCAACTAGAGCCAATCAAAATGTCATACACAATAAGACATTTAATTATGATGAACAAAAACAAGATTTGATTATAAAGAAGAGATATAAGACATATCCAACTCTTGTCCATTATTGTCACCTGCAAATGAATGAAAAGGTAAACAAAAATGATTTGATTTTTAAAAGTATTAAAATAAATGAGGCTATTCAATACAGTTGTTCAAAATGAATTAGTTTTTAGAATATGGGGTGCTTTATTTAATTTCCTCTTAGGGCTTTGGTTGTGGGTCATTTAATTCTTATTTTTACTTTGGATTAGTTAAGTTGTTATAGACTCAAGAAAGTCATGTTTCCCACAAATTTTTATTCTTAATAATTTATATGTTGTCTAGTTTCCATTTTGGTTGTTAGTCAAAATCTAGCACCACGTCTGCTAGTCACCACTAGAAAAAACCTCTACATTCCTAGTACTGACTCTCCCTCATGTCCACACACATTGTTCTCACTTTATTTTTAATTCATTGCTCCACATATAAGTTGTAACTGTGTATGCTTATTGATAAATTAAATAAAAGTATACATGTTCAATAATAAATTAATCACTGATAAAACTTAACATATTGATTTGTAAAAAATTACAAATAAAGAATTTGGTTCACTCACTCACACTTATACTTTATTACTCATAAGAACCCCTCATTCCCACATACACACATTCATTTGGGATAAATTTTTTTAGTCTAATTTTTTTAGCTATTTTAACATGACTTAAAAAATTCTATTTAGAATCAATTTTGAATTTTTTTTTTTTTTGTTGTTTATAGTTCATTTTATGGTTGTGAAAAAAAAAAAGAAAGAAGGTAAAATGATTATGATTTATTTGCAATATTTTATCTTATTAACTAAATTAACCTATTTTGTTTTCATTATCCAATTTAGCCAATTTAGCTTATGCCAAGCAAAACCAGTAAAATAATCTTATTTATCAGAAGCACCACAAACCTGAATGACAAACTAAAAAGAACTTTTAACCAAACCATCCATTATATCTCCAACTACTTAAGCACATAAGAACCCAAATCTAAAACATATGCCATAAAACATACCAGGCAGAGCCAACCAGAAGGCAAGTACTCCTCTTTTAATTTCCAACCTACTATCTGCAAATGGTAGATAGCATAATAAAAAACAATGAAAATCCACTAAGGAGGTTAACATCCAAACAGATGTAACCTATGAATAATGGGTGTTCAGATTTACAATTAAATATTATTCAAAATTTAAAAAGGACTGGAAACAGAGGAACAAATCATTCACTGGTAAACTAAAGCAGCAACTAATCAATATGCAATGCAATGTACACCTTGCTATAGCAAGATTTTGATCCATGAGATCAAACAGCTCATATCATAGGCAGTTGAACTCATGTACTGACGCAGTAACATGCTAAAATACATATTGTACTCAAGTGAAGTGCCAGCATGATCAGGTAGTAAAGATACACAGATATACTTATATACATATATATATATATATATATAGAGAGAGAGAGAGAGAGAAAGCATACGCAAGACGGAGCATCAATGGAGCAGAGTTCTTCTCAGTGATGAAGCCTCTAGATCTCGTGGCGGTGGCGGTGGATCTGCGAAGATCGGCAGAGGAGGAGGAGGCGGCGGCGTGAAATGTTTTAGACAAGGATGGGGTGTGGATCTGCAATCTGTGTGGCTCACTCATAGATCTGTGTGAATCGCATGAATCTGTTTTGGTTGCTTGCTTTGGTTCTCATACTTGAGAATTTTGATGGGAAACTAGCTTCTCAATGTGATGTATGTATGTGTAGATGTGAATACAGAAGATCGTAGAAGGAGATAGATTCAAAGATGTGATTTGAAATGAGGTGTTTAGCACAGAAAATTTGGGAGAGAAAAGGGCGTCCGGATCCTCTAGAGTGGGATTCCCTGAAGTGATCCCTAAAGTGAGTGATCCAATGGCTCAAAATAAAACTAACAAAACAACGTCGTTTTTGTTAGTAATTTCAAAAAAAAAAAAAAACTTTAATTCAAAATTTCTACAGATGAGATATGAAGCAATACACAGACAGAGAGAGACAGAGCGAGAAAGAAAATGATTGAGTTTCATATTTCTATCTCTTCACTCTCATCTTCTTTGTCTTCTTCTTCATGGGTATTGATGTTCTTGATCTACTGATTTCTTCAATGGGTTTTAGTTTTTTGGTGGAAAATGAAGATCTAATAAATCCATGGTTCTTGATTTGGTGGGCTAGCAAGTCTGATCTTGGAATACACATTCATTTTCCTTGGAATACACCTATTTTATTTATTTATTTATTTTGTTCTTTCTTGAATCTATAGTTGGGTTATTTATTGTTTTGATTGGTTGAAATGTTCTTTGGGTTTCTCTGGATTTCTTGAATCTATAGTTGGGTTGTTTATTGTTTATTATTCTCAGGAAATTCATGGCCATGGATGACACCAAATCCATTTTCATTTGGGTTTCTCTGCAAATCCACCCATTTTCTTCTTCATCTCTCAAACCCATCAAAACCTTTGTAAAATCTCTATCCTTGAAGCTTCTTGAAGAATAGAGATTAAAGTGAGTTTTTTGAAGAATAGAGATCCAAAAACTAGAGGACATAGAGATTTCAAAAAATTAGATCTCTGCAAAAAAAAAAAAAATCAATCTCTGCAAAATCTCAATTTCCTCGACTCTCTCTCCTCCTCCCTCTCGATTTGCAAACTGCAAAAAAATTTTTTTTTTTTTTTGGGGTTGGCCACCAAAATGACGTTGTTTTGGGAAGGGATCATCTCAGCCATTCGTTCTATTAATGGAACACGTGTTGGGCCATAAAACATCACTCTAGAAGATCACTTCAGGAAATGACTCTAGTGGATCCGAACGCGAGAAAAGGTGGGTTTGGTTTGGATTAGGTAGAGAAAGAGAGGATGAGAGAGAAGAGTGAGTGCGTGACTTGTGAGATATATAAAATGGTTATTGGCGATTAAAATTTTTTAGTCGCTGAAGGTATTTTATAAATCCCTCCAAAATATTTGAAATGTCTCCCTCTGAAAATTTTATTTCTTTGGCGACTAAAATTCTTTTCTGTCACTGAAAATAAACTTTTGGCTACCAAACGTTTAGTCCCCAAATGTAAAAAATAATTTTTCATTTTTCATTCGGTGACTAAATGATTTTAGTAGTCAAAACTCAATATACGACGACTAAAATTCTTTTTTGTCGCTGAAAATAAACTTTTGGCTACCAAAATTTTGGTCACCAAAGGCAAAAAATAATTTTTTATTTTTCATTCGACTAATAAATAATTTTAGAAGCCAAAACTCAATATACAGTGACTAAATTTCTTTTTTGTCGCTGAAAATAAACTTTTGGCTACCAAAATTTTGGTTGCCAAAGGTAAAAAAATATATTTTTTTATTTTTCATTTGGCTACTAAATAATTTTAGTAGCCAAAACTCAATATACGGCGACTAAATTTCTTTTTTGTCACTGAAAATAAATTTTTGGCTACCAAATTTTTGATCGCCAAAGATAAAAAAATAATTTTTTATTTTCCATTCGGCGACTAACGGTTTTAGTAGCTAAAACTCAATATACAGCGACTAAAATTCTTTTTTGTAGCCAATTTTGGCATTTTTAGTGACTGAATTTTTTTTAGTCGCCAATTCCACAACTTTTGGCGACTAAATTTTTTTAGTCTCCAATTTTAGTCGTCGAAGGTGCATTTTGTTGTAGTGTTGATCCCAACAAGCACTACCATTGCTGGTTTTGCTAGAGACAAACAGATGGCTCAAGGCATTCTGCTTATCAACCTGAGTGTGGGAACCAAAGATTGTATGACAACA